AAGATACAGGTGTCCTTCCTAACTCAGTAGCCGGAGAGGAAGGAAACCGCTCAGTGATTTCACCATGAGGCCAATGGTGACTTTAAAACAGTTACAGTGTTTAGTGGCTGTTATAGGAGAAAACTGAGGATGGATCAACAACATTGTAGTTACTCCACAATACTAACCTAATTGACAGAGTGAAAAGAAGGAAGCCTGTACAGAATAAAAATATTCCAAAACATGCATCCTGTTTGCAATAAAGCACTGCAAAAAATGTGGCAAAGCAATTAACTTTTTGTCCTGAATACAAAGTGTTATGTTTGGGGCAAATCCAATACAACACATTACTGAGTACCACTCTCCATATTTTCAAGCATAGTGGTGGCTGCATCATGTTATGGGCAAGACATTAATCGTTAAAGACTGGGGAGTTTTTAGGATAAAAAATAAACAAAATGGAGCTAAGCACAGGCAAAATCCCAGAGGAAAACCTGGTTCAGTCTGCTTTCCACCAGACACTGTGAGATGAATTCAGCAGGACAATAACCTAAAACACAAGCCCAAATCTACACTGTAGTTCCTTACCAACAAGGCAGTGAATGTTCCTGAGTGGCCGAATTACAGTTTTTACTTAAATATACTTGAAAATCTATGGCAAGACATGAAAATGGTTGTCTAGCAATGATCAACAACCAATTTGACAGAGCTTGAAGAATTTTTAAAATAATGATGGGCAAGTGTTGCACAATCGAGGTGTGGAAAGCTCTTAGAGACTTACACAAAAGGCTCACAGCTGTAATCTCTGCCACTCAGGGGTGTGAATATTTATGTAAATGAAATATTTGTGTATTTCATTTTCAATACATTTTCTAAAAAATAAAAACAATGTTTTCATTTTGTCATTATGGGATATTGTGTGTAGATGCGTGAGAATTATACTTTTTAAATTCAATTTTAAATTCAGGCTGTAACACAACAAAATGTGGAATAAGTCAAGGGGTATGAATACCTACTCATTAAAGGGTTTTTCTTTATTTTTTTACTATTTCCTACATTATAGAATAAAATTGAAGACATCAAAACTATGAAATAACACATATGGAATCATGTAGTAACCAAAAAAGTGTTAAACACCTTCTCCATGCTTTACCGTGGGAAATACACATCATCCGTTCACCCACACCGCGTCTCACAAAGACACAGCGGTTGGAACCAAAAATCTCAAATTTGGAATCCAGACCAAAGGACACATTTCCACCGGTCTAATGTCCATTGCTCGTGTTTCTTGGCCCAAGTAAGTATCTTCTTCTTAATGGTGTCCTTTAGTACTGGTTTCTTTGCAGCAAATCGACCATGAAGGCCTGATTCACACAGTTTCCTCTGAACAGTTGATGTTGAGATGTGTCTGTTACTTGAACTCTGTGAAGCATTTATTTGGGCTGCAATTTCTGAGGCTGGTGACTCTAATGAACTTATCCTCCGCAGCAGAGGTAACTCTGGTTCTTCCATTCCGGTGGCGGTCCTCATGAGAGTCCGTTTCATCATAGCGCTTGATGGTTTTTGCGACTGCACTTTAAGAAACTTTCAAAGTTCTTGAAATGTTCCGTATTGACTGACCTTCATGTCATTTATTTTTGCTTATTTGAGCTGTTCTTGCCATAATATGGACTTGGTCTTTTACCAAATAGGGCTATCTTCTGTATACCCCCCCCCCCCTACCTTGTCACAACACAACTGATTGGCTCAAGCGCTTTAAGAAGGAAAGCAATTCCACAAATTAACTTTTAAGAAGGCACGCCTGTTAATTGAAATGCATTCCAGGTGACTACCTCATGAAGCTGGTTGAGAGAATGCCAAGAGTGTGCAAAGCTGTCATCAAGGCAAAGGGTGGCTATTTGAAAGTATTCACCCCCCTTGGCATTTTTCCTATTTTGTTGCCTTACAACCTGGAATTAAAATCGTTTTTTGGGGGTTTGTATCATTTCATTTACACAACATGCCTACCACTTTGAAGATGTACATTTTTTTAAAACAGAAAACTTGAGCGTGCATAACTATTCACCCCCCCCCCCCCCCCCCCCCCCCCCCCCAAAAAAAAAAAAAGTCAATACTTTGTAGAGCCACCTTTTGCAGCAATTACAGCTGCAAGTCTCTTGGGGTATGTCTCTATAAGCTAAGCTTGGCACATCTAGCCACTGGGATTTTTGCCCATTCTTCAAGCCAAAACTGCTCCAGCTCCTTCAAGTTGGATGGGTTCCGCTGGTGTACAGCAATCTTTAAGTCATACCACAGATTCTCAATTGGATTGAGGTCTGGGCTTTGACTAGGCCATTCCAAGCTATTTAAATGTTTCCCCTTAAACCACTCGAGTGTTGCTTTAGCAGTATGTATAGGGTCATTGTCCTGCTGGAAGGTGAACCTCCGTCCCAGTCTCAAATCTCTGGAAGACTGAAACAGGTTTCCCTCAAGAATTTCCCTGCATTCAGTGCCATCCATCATTCCTTCAATTCTGACCAGTTTTCCAGTCCCTGCCGATGAAAAACATCCCCACAGCATGATGCTGCCACCACCATGCTTCACTGTGGGGATGGTGTTCTCGGGGTGATGAGAGGTGTTGGGTATGCGCCAGACATAGCGTTTTCCTATGCCATTTAGCAGATACTTTTATCCAAAGCGACTTAAGGTCATGTATGCATACATTTTTACGTATGAGTGGTCCCGGGGATCGAACCCACTACCCTGGCGTTACAAGCGCCATGCTCTACCAATTGAGCTACAGCTAAATTGAGCTAAAGCTCAATTTTAGTCTCATCTGACCAGAGTACCTTCTTCCATATGTTTGGGGAGTCTCCCACATGCCTTTTGGCGAACACCAAACGTGTTTGCTTATTTTTTTTCTTTAAGCAATTGCTTTTTTCTGGCCACTCTTCCATAAATCCGAGCTCTGTGGAGTGTACGGCTTAAAGTGGTCCTATGGACAGATACTTCAATCTCCGCTGTGGAGCTTTGCAGCTCCTTCAGGGTTATCTTTGGTCTCTTTGTTGCCTCTGATTAATGCCCTCCTTGCCTGGTCCATGATATTTGGTGGGCGGCCCTCTCTTGGCAGGTTTGTTGTGGTGCCATATTCTTTCAATTTTTTAATAATGGATTTAATGGTGCTCCGAGGGATGTTCAAAGTTTCTGATATTTTTTATAACCCAACCCTGATCTGTACTTCTCCACAACTTTGTCCCTGACCTGTTTGGAGGGCACCTTGGTTTTCATGGTGCCGCTTGCTTGGTGGTGCCCCTTGCTTAGTGGTGTTGCAGACTCTGGGGCCTTTCAGAACAGGTGTATATATGCTGAGATCATGTGACAGATCATGTGACACTTAGATTGCACACAGGTGGACTTTATTTAACTAATAAGTTGACTTCTGAAGGTAATTGGTTGCACCAGATCTTATTTAGGGGCTTCAAGGCAAAGGGGCTGAATACATATGCAAGCACCACTTTTCCGTTATTTATTTTTTCGAAATTTATTGAAACAAGTTATTTTTTTCATTCCACTTCACCAATTTGGACTATTTTGTGTATGTACATTACATGAAATCCAAATAAAAATCAATTTAAATTACAGGTTGTAATGCAACAAAATAGGAAAAACGCCAAGGGGGATGAATACTTGCAAGGTGAGTATTATGTTTGGAACTTCAAATCACAATAAAATCGCAGTATCAAATCACAATACATATAGAATCGTGAGAGTCATGAGATTCGCAAAACATATAATATCAGCACCTAAGTATCATGATAATATTGTATTGTGAGGTCCTTGGCGATTCCCAGCCCTAATATTTTGTTCCAGTGACTGTAGGGAATGTTCATGGCCGTACTAGCCTAGTCCCTCCCCGTGTAGCCCTGCCCAGCTCAGCCGAGGCCAAGCAGAACCAGGCTATGACCTGCCTTATCGTGATGGGGTGATGGGGGTTGTTGTAGTTATGGTGGTGATAGGAGTTGTAGTAGTGGTAGTGCTGGTGGTGATGAGAGTTGTAGTAGTGGTGGTGCTGGTGGTGATGGGAGTTGTAGTAGTGGTGGTGCTGGTGCTGGTAGTGATGGGAGTTGTAGTAGTGGTGGTGCTGGTGCTGGTGGTGATAGGAGTTGTACTAGTGGTGGTGCTGGTGGGGATGGGAGTTGTAGTAGTGGTGGTGCTGGTGGTGATGGGTGTTGTAGTAGTGGTGGTGCTGGTGGTGATGGGAGTTGTAGTAGTGGTGGTGCTGGTGGTGATGGGAGTTGTAGTAGTGGTGGTGCTGGTGGTGATGGGAGTTGTAGAAGTGCTGGTGCTGGTGGTGATGGGAGTTGTAGTAGTGGTGGTGCTGGTAGTGATAGGAGTTGTAGTAGTGGTGGTGCTGGTGGTGATGGGAGTTGTGGAAGTGGTGGTGCTGGTGGTGATGGGAGTTGTAGTAGTGGTGGTTCTGGTGGTGATGGGAGTTGTAGTAGTGGTGGTGCTGGTGCTGGTGGTGATGGGAGTTGTAGTAGTGGTGGTGCTGGTGGTGATGGGATGTGCTTTTGACTCAGAGCAACACAAACGAGCTCCAGCCTGGTGAACTCAGCCTTCAGTATTCAGCAGCCTACAGCCCGCCCACTCCCTCACTCCCTCACTCCCTATAATTCTCTATCTCTTGCTCTCCATTTCCCCTCTACTCCTCTTCAGGGACAGGGAAAATGGTTTCATGGGGTCATTTCCAGCAGTCTGTGATCCGCGTCTCCTCCTAATTGTTTTCCCAAATCCTGGGCTGGTGAGTTTAGGACAGAAGGGTGGAATGCAGGGCAATGTTCCCATCTTCCCACTATTACACACATTAACCTTTCTGTCTGTAGCCCAACATGCTGCTACGCTACACAGAGTGCCAGATCACCATTAAATACTGGCTGGGTTTTCATAACGGAAGATGCATGCAGTATGTGTGGTTGATGTAGGCTATGTTTCAGTTGAGAGGGAGAAATAGGGGCAGAGAGAGACAAAACCGAAAGGGAGAGATGGAGCAAGAGAGATGGAGGGAATCAGAGAACAGGAGAGGGAAAGAGAAACCAAGAAAGAGACTACATATAGTAGAGAAGAGAGATGGAGAGAAAGATGGAGAGGCCTGTGGGTGCAGTGTAAAGGTCAGTGTGTATGTGACCGTGTTAAGAACTGGTGGGAGGCTGAGGATAATTATAAAGTGTCTGAGCTCACCACACTCCTCCACACACTCATGGGAAGACTGCCTGTCCATCAAACACGAGAGGGTCCATGGGGCCGAGTACATACACACACACACACACACACACACACACACTCAAAAAACGGGGCCGAGTATACACACACACGGACAAACATGCACATACAATACACAGCAGATGCATGCACACACATAAATTGCAACCCTAATCCCTCGCCTTCTCACTAAAGCAATTCCACCCTCATTTGCAATATCCAGCAGCTCATATTCCCACACTTGATGCGTTTGTTATATTGCAGAGAAATATCCTGTCTATTTTCCTATTCTTTCTATTTAGAATTCTCAATCAGTCTCATAATTCAAAGTATCTTTGAGCTGAACTTCCCAACTGGAGTATTAAAAGCCTATTAATGAATAGTGCTGAAACGGTTGTTTCTGGGAGGCGTGTGTGTGTGTGTGTGTGTGTGTGTGTGTGTGTGTGTGTGTTGTGAGTGTGGCCTTGCCTGCCCCTGCAGTATTATTTCACAGGACTTGCTAAGCATTTATGAGCTAATTAAGGTTGCAGAGCTGGTGAGCTGGTGATAAGGCCCTTCTCTGGCCCCATTATTAATGTTCCACGCTCCACTGGGGCTCCAGAGGGGCCCCAGACCTGCAAGCTGCCTAATTGGAAGCACTGGATCTGTTTGGGGAGAATTCTGATGACTTTCTGAACAAAGTGTGTGTGTATCTGTGTGAATTTGTGTGTGTGCGTGTTTGTGCTTGTTTGTGTCTACTTGGGGTGTGTGTGCTACATGTGGGTGTGTTTGTGCGTGGGTGCATTTGGCAATTTGCGTTTGGTAAGCATGTAGCCCAGCTCTGCTCTGACCCACATTTCAGAGTGAGCCCCATTATTCGGTCTCTTAAAGTATGTTTCACTTGGGAAAAACACAGCACAGAGCTCCAGACCACCCCTGGGAATTCCCACAGCCTCCAGAACATAAAATAAGAGCTGCCAATATCATGATTATAAATGTTCCTAATGTTGTATTGCAAATTTCATTTTGTCATGGTTTGTTTTCTTTCAAACTTCCACCTCAGCCAGCACCCCCACTAAGAAATGTGAGGTGTCATGAAGCTGTGAAATACTTTACCACAGGTCCAAGGTAGAGGCTACTGTTTGCTCAGGGTCAATGTTAATGTGAGTGGTGAAAGTTTCCTTTTCCTTTCCCCCATCTCTGACCCCATGAAGACTGTAGCCACGACTCCCCCCTCCCCCCAGACCTAGAGCCCAGACCCTGTGGTGTCTGTCTGTGGCTGCCTCATAAAACAGCACATAAAGAGAGCCCCTCCTTTGAAGCCGGACAATGACCTCAAACTTGTTGCTCTCGGAAACACCCCTCTGCTATTGTGGTGGTCGCAAAAGAACCAGCGGGAGAGACTTCCTGCAAAAAAAACATTTGGTGTGTGTTGGGGTCTTTTTTATTTTTGCCATGGAGATGGGAGAGGGCCTATGGAGAGTGGGGGTTGGGTGTGGTTTTCAGTGTTGGTTGTTAAAGTTCCTTCCTGCCTGAGCTCTGATGTCATCGGTGCAGGCCTCAACCCAACACAGCACTGCATGAGGCTGAAAACTGTTCCGCCCACAAACACGCAGAGAAAATGGGAAACACATTCATGCTGTTAATTAATCGCCTGTTTAGATACTCTGGTCCAGTTTGCCCCCTACACGCTCTCACGCAGACACAGACAAATATGCCCAGTACCCTCTCTTTCTGTGTGTGAATCACCTCCTACGGGGTTGAGGGAATATTCATGCGTGCCACAGCAAAGGCATCAAAAACAAGTGCAACGAACAGTATAAAATGGCTGAACTCCCTAAGAGACTGCAATAGTACCAAGAGAGACTGCAATAGTACCAAGCAAACATGTTTGGCTCGGTTTTCTAATTTTGTCTCTCAGCTGTTTTTCCCTCCCAGAATAAACGTCTTCTGTTTGCAGATGATTATGCTTGTCCCCAGTGTTAGTGCTGTGTGTCAGTGCTGTGTGGTTCCCTGCTGGTCTGAGGACAGGACTATTCCCTTCCTAATGAAAGACACTGAGCTGGAATCACGTTGACGTGATGCCTTCCCTCACCTCGCTTCAAATTGTGTTCCAACCTTCGTCATGACATCTATTCATCTGCTCTATTTATACAGACACACACTACACTACACACACACACACACACACACACACACACACACAAACACACACACACACAAACACACACACACACACTGTATAAACACCTCCACACCAGGCATCTCGCATAACCCAAATCTGTCACATTCCACATTGAACGAAGATGCAACAACATGTTTTTGTTTTGTTTTGTTTTTTTCACACAGCCAAAGCTTTCCTCTTCAAAGTAAAACATAAAACATGGACAACATCCGTTTTCTGTCTCCGAGTTTTTGTCCTCTGAAGTTCATTGTAATATTCTCAGTCTTTCCTCATCTCATTTGTGCGGTGTGATGCTGGTACAGAAGTAGCTGTCCCTGTCAAGCAGCTGTGTGTGAGTTTGTCCCTGTCACAGAGAGAGAGACATCCTTCATATGGGAGGACAGGACAGGCAGGACACAGTGACAGTGGTGAATCACGTCTGCTGGGTGTTAATCTCATCTCCTGGCAATTAGCTGCTTCTCAGTGTGATGCAGGGAGCAGACAATGAAAGGGACATGGAATGAATCACCACCTAATTACTCTCCCTCCATACCACACCACATCGATCCCGTCACATTCAGATTCTAGCAGTTTTATTAGAGTGATTATGGGCTGTTTATCATCATTTCCCCATCCGATACCTTTATCCACAGCTATTTGCTAGTCTGTTATGGTAGATTATGGTTGATGCAGCGCTTTAGGTGGCCATATGTAATCAGCTGGGTACATTCTGAGGTGGCGGAGGTGGAGAGCTTTTCTCAAGGAAACAGCAGAAATACCTCACCTTGATGTGGGTGCCAGGAAAGTCCAACTCCCTAGCCGCAGTTCAATGTCCACACTTCTGCCTTCTCTCCTTTTATTTTGTTGATTTTCTGTTTTTTTTTACCTACCACTGTCCCTATTCTTTGGAGGACAACTTCATTTATATCTGTACAATTAGTTGATACACAATATGATGTGTGCAGTGAAGTGAAGCTGCATCTCTTTGCATTGAGGCCCACCCCTATCGCTGTGGGATAGGACTTTCTCTTTCTAAGCCCAGCCCACACCCCAACACCCTCAGCCGCTGTTCCTCTGAGTGTGGGTCCCTGACCTCTGAACCGTGGACTGTGGTCTGGACCCACTCACCACAGGGACACCAGATGAGGTGGGCCCACCTCGCAGGCCAACCAGTGGCTGGTTAAGGACCGGCTACACACACACATTAGACATGGTACCAGATGAGCAAAGACCCTAAACAAAGACTGTGGTTTAGAATGCTATCTGTCTTCAAGCTTGAAGTTAATCAATGTCATTGAGTTCTTTAACTGCCTATATGTGACACATTTAACTTTATCTTGACTTCTTATCGTGACTTTTGATAATAGTCCATAAAGACTACGTTGACTTTGTCTGTTTTTGTTGTTGTTGTTGTGAACAATATGTACAGCAGGGTATTCAATTCCGGTCCTGGAGGGCCGAAACATTTACGTTTTTTGTTTCTACCTGGTAGTTAATTGCACTCACCTGGTGTCCCAGGTCTGAAATAGCCCCTGATTAGAAGGAGAGGATGAAAAACAGAGGTGTTTCGGCCCTCCAGGACCGGAATTGAATAGCCCTGATTTAATAGTACAGTAAGAGTGGAGGGCTTCCCCAAGTTGAAGAGCTGTGTTTGTGGGTCAACACAGGATCTCTAAAGTTTACCCAGCTTGCCAGCCAGGGGGGTGACACATTTCACCCCTCTGCTCTAAAACGGTCATTTGCAGCTGAGAATGCTGGGAGTGTGAAGGGGCTTGTTATGGAAGTCCCTGCTTGGTTGGTTACTCTGTCTCCTCTCTCGCCCTCTTTCTCGCTCGCTCTCCCTCTCTCTCTCTCTGTTTCACTCTCTCTGTCCCTCTCACTTTCTCTCTCCCTCTCTTTCTCTCTCTCTCTGTCCCTCTCTCTCTCTGTCTCTCTCTCTGTCTCTCTCTCTCTCTCTCTCTCTGAATCCATCACTCGCTCTCAAGCGATCTCTTTCTTTGGCAGACACTATACTTTGCTTACTTATGCTTAAGTCAGAAAAGAACAAATTCAAATTTGTGTCAAAAGGTTAAAGACTTCTCAAATGTTCTTTTTGAGAAATATGTAATCATTTGCACATGTATACTAAATGAGTCCCAGATGGCAGGGTTCATGTGTTCAGCTTTTTGTGCAACCCTCAGATTCATGCTATGTCATCAAAAAATGTGCTCACTCATGTCCTTTTCTAATGTGGAAGACATCTTATACTGCTTGTTTTTATTTTTATATATTTATCTATCCATTTTCTGTGTCAATCTATCCATTTTCACTATCTAAAGAAACTGAAGCTGTATTGATTGGAAATGGTTAAGGAAAATGGAAAACCTCCCCTATGTCCATATTAAAGGGTCTGCGTTTTGTGAGTAATCAATGGAGTTTAGGGTGAAACAGTAGGCTGATCTGTTAGTCAGGTCTGTGGCCTTGGGGGATTCACAGAGGAACCAGGCTTGGTCAGGCCGAGCTGAATGCTGATCAATAGGCACATCAATTCCAGGTACACTATATCTCTCTCTGAAGGAGGTCAGCACAGCAGAGGGCCCATGGGCCACCATATCGACTGAGGGCGGTGATTTAGTGATGGCCAAGGGCTCTGCACTGGGAGACAGAAAGGAACTCCATCACTGAGTCTGGTCCCTCATTGGTTGATCCGTGTCAGTGACCTCACCCCTCCAGCCACTGTGTAGGAAGAATGACCTCTCATCTTACAATGAGAAAAACAGAAGGATCTGCCAATGGAAGGTTTGAATCAATCGATGAGAAACCCAATGGGAGAATCTCCTCTATATTAATTACTCAGTCCCCTGTAGCTCAGTTGGTAGAGCATGGCGCTAGCAACGCCAGGGTTGTGAGTTCGTTTCCCACGGGGGGCCAGTATGAAAATGTATGCACACACTAACTGTAAGTCGCTCTGGATAAGAGCGTCTGCTAAATGACTAAAATGTAAATGTAACCAGCCACCTCCCAACTCCTGGTGGCACCAGGAGTTGATTTGATGTTGACCATGTCAGATAAATCTCTTCGTTCCACTGCTATTTCTCTTAAATTCTCTCTCTCATGCTGTGTCTGTCTCATGTGTGTTTCTAATGATTGCATATTTACACTCTGTCTAACTAGCGTATAACTGAGAAGGGGTTGAGCCTGACATATTAGATTCATAATGGAGGCTTATGTAAAACGTGACAGCCTTGCTATCTGGTTTTCCTGGTCAATATTACCACATCATAATATGCCTTTTAGCAGACGCTTTTATCCAAAGCGATTTACAGTCACGTGTGCATACAATCATCAGACTGAACAGTCTATTTATTGCCATTGATTTATGTGATGCTATTTAAGAGCAACCCACACATGGATAGATGGGGGTTAGAAATAGCGACAGTTAACAGCAGAATCACAGCCCAACAGTACTTCAGAAATGTCAGCCTAGGTAAATGTCTGCTATTTTAGATCTTAGTACATTACATTGCCCCCGCAATAAATTAACTCCGAAAAGTACAGAGGGAACTCAATATTGTACATGTATCTCTTCAGTTTGGGTGTGGGTGTACATGTTCCTAGAGTTATTTGAGATCTTATGGTATCTGGGTTGGTAGTACAGTCCTTCCAGGCTGTGGATTAAAACAGTGGGTTCATTTACGATACACTCTCTCATCCTCCACTACCCCCAGGCACTGTTACCAAGAACCAAATCCCAAACACACTGTTACTCCAGTCTCCCTCCTTCATCACAGTGTCTGCTTTGAATAATCTCCATACATAATCACTGGCATTGTGCAGTGAATGGAGGGGGCTGGAGATGGCCTAGCAGGCGGTAGTCAAATGCTGAAAGAGGCCTTCCCATATGTGTGTCACAGCATGTCCTGTGTCTGGGCTCTGGGGCTCCAGGAGGGCAGGGGGTGTTTGTTCTCTCCATGCCTGTGCCGTGCAGCCCTGGCTGGGCACACAGAGGACTGTCTGTGCCTGGAGAACCACAGGAGCGCTGGGTGCCTGTGGGGAGATAAACGTGCTCAGAGTGTGGAGTGTGAAAGGGGCAGGACACAGGATTTACTTTAGAATAGCCGGCCTCGCCCTCCCCCTCTACACACACATACACGGTGTGGTTCACAGTTCAAATAAACAGGGGCGAATGGCAGGCTGGGAAGTTATAAACAGCCTTGTGCCAGGGTCATTTAGTTCCTCTCAGGGTGTTGCTCTCTCACTGATTTCTAATGGGCCAAAGTCTACCAAAGGGGAGGTAATAGAAGCTACAGTGAGGAGCGGGGAAAGACAGATGGGAGAGTACAAGTATAAGCTTTTGTTCTGGGAAATGTGGTGGAGGGGCTCCTGAGTGTCTCAATACCTCTACCTTTTGTTGGACTGTCTGCAACTGTTGATCGTGTGTGTATGTGTGTGTGTGTGTGTGTGTGTGTGTGTGTGTGTGTGTGTGTGTGTGTGTGTGTGTGTGTGTGTGTGTGTGTGTGTGTGTATTTGTGCATGCCTGTGTGTTCTGCTGAGTTTTCATTATTACACAGCACACGTGGATTCTGAATGAGTCATCTATCTATTCCTTAGTGCTGTCTCAGACTTTCTCCAATCAGTCCTTGTGTTGCCAACGCCAACACTACGCATACTCCATTGAGTGGTGGGCTCACACTCACTCTGTGTTTGATAACAGAAATCCACAGCTCACTCCAAAGATCCTAGAAATGCCAATCGCTCTCCAGTTACCAATCCATAACTGCCACCGGAGCTGGACCAGACAGCCCCTGTGGAGAAAGCAGCGGTGGTTATATCGACATGGAGCTTGTGTGTCATCGGCTCATCATCGATCACAGCTTGTTGCAGGAAATCGGATAATTAAATGGATCTTGGGTGGAATGAATGGGTGGTTGTTTTATATCAGGGTTGGTTGAGATGAAACACTGTTAATTGGATGAGGACCCCCCTCCTCCCAGAACCTCTGCTGTGTGGTTAGGAAGTCATCCTCTTTATGACCTTATTGACCACTTAGATAAGCTCGTGGCCTTTTGTTCTGCTGGCTCTGAAATCAGGTTGAAGTGTATTAAAGCCCCCTTTTTCTCTTCATCTAGTTTAATCTGTTCATAACAGACAACTCTATTTCATCCTGGCTCTACACACCTTCACTTTTAACTTATTCTGCAAAACCTCTATCAATTAAATACATTTTTATTAAAGAATAGCCTGTAGTACTTAAAGCATAAGTCCCCTGTGAGAAAGTTATCCAAGTGAAACGCTTTAGGTTGGATTATTGATGTGAAAGCGGCAGGGTAGAAATGGATTAGTGAATAAGCCAGGTCTGTTTTTTTATTCCTGGGTAGGTCTACATATAGTTTAGACGGGCTTGACAGTAGCAGATTGGTCCTGTACGAAAAGCTTCTAACCAATCGTATTTTGACAACACCAACCCATCAAACTGACTGGAGCTTGGTGTTTGTAACAGGCAAGTAGTAGGCTGATTGGACTCTGATCTGATTTTTCTGAGGTTTTGTATTTGCTATTGCAAATCACAGAGGTATTTAAAGCAGGAGCCAATGGTAATATTTTTCCCAGCAGATTAATGAGAGTGTCCTGGCTTTCTCTAAGTTTCTCTGTCTCGCTCTCTCTCGCTCTCTTGCTCTCTCTCTCGCTCACTCTCCTGTAACAGGAAGCTATAGCAGTCCATCCTGGACTCGGGTCCAAGCCTTCCCTGATCCCTAACCCTGATACATTTACCAGACTGCAGTGTGTGTATGTGAGCGTGCCCGCCTTTAAGAAGGCAAGAGCCCTATATGGTCTTTTTTGCCAGTACATATTCATTGCCACTTGTTGTCTTTCTAAGTTTATTGGTGTACCCTTACTGGCACAAATTACATGTGACAGATATAAAATGGCAATTATAAAAGCTTAATAAATGTAACTGTTCTGTTTTCTTAGTCTACTACATGTTCTTATTCGTGGAACAGCAAGGAGGAAAAGTCTCCTCTAGACAGATGTTTGAGGAATGTTCTGCTTGAATTGTGTTGATAACAAATTGCAAATCAAACGTAACTATAAGTGGACATAAGCAGAGCACTGTGCTCCCTCCTGGTCCCTGACGAAAATGGACAGAAAGAGCCTCTCAGGCAGACCCACCACTGTTTGACTGATCCTTCTGTCCTTCCAGCCAGTCTTTCTCAACTAAATATTTAAACATGGCATACTTAAGCAAGGGTTTATTTAACTAAAAGTTTGAATTGCTGAGGTTTAAACCATTACAGGAGGGTCTGGAGAAAGTGGAGCACGACCCAGGTGATTGGCTAAAACAGGAGAAGATGATCACACACGTTGGCTGTGTTTAGATCACTGGGGATTTGTACTCCCCCCCCCCCAGACCACAGCCTGTGTTCAGTGTTGCATCTTCTATTCCTCTCTTGAAGCAGTATGCATTATCAATATGTACAGTACTGTTGTTCTGCATACCTGGCTGTGGTGTTGTAAAGTGCATCTGAGGCTTTAGTTTACTGACAGAATGGGGCGAAATCATGTATCAAGCTGCTGCTGTTTTGGCTCTGCTGTGGTCATCCTAATGAGGCTGATCAGATCTATTATTAACGAAACATCTGGTAACTCCTCTCCTCTCCGTATGGCAACTGGGATGCCTGCAGGGAGAGAGGAGAGGGCTGAGGAGCTCCAAGGAGGAGAGGGCTGAGGAGCTCCAAGGAGGAGAGGCTTCTAGAATAGAACTCTGTGGTGTTCCAGAACCCTGCAGTCTGACTGAATGGGAGTGACCAGCCATTGAGAGATGCTGAGGTACTGACCCCTACATGGCCGCCGTGACTATGGATTATTCCTTAGCACCTTAGAGAATGCTGCCCTATGTACGTAGTCATTGAACCCTGGTCACTTTAATAATGTTTACATACTGTTTTACCCACTTCATATGTATATACTGTATTCTAGTCAAGGCTCATCCTATGTAACTACTGCTGTACACACCTTTTCTATTCATATACTGTCCATACTGTCTATACACACCATTATACAGTATATATATATATATATATATATATATATATATATTTATTTATATTCCGGTCTCTGACATTGTTCATTCTGATATTTTTCATTTCTTGTTGTGTGTATTGTTTTGTATTGCTAGGTATTACTGCACTGTTGGAGCTAGAAGCACAAGCATTTCGTGCTGCACCTGCGATAACCTGCGATAACGATATCAAATCTGTGTATGCGACCAATAAATGTTGATTTGATTTGATTGAAATCCTCCACTGGGGGATGATTGGGAGCTTAGTCATAAAACAGCCCCTGGATATTTGGTGTGGCAGGATTAGACAGCAGACTGTTCACTGAAGAGGCTTTTCCATTTTCTTACATGTTGATGCAAAATAATTTCTTTCTCAATTGCTCATGTTTTTTTCAGTCGACATTTCCCTTTGCATCTTCTACGCATACCTTTACTGACTCCCAAACGTGACCCAGTTATGTTTTGAATCTGAATCCACATGTAGGACTGGGAAAGCTCACAGAGAGACAGGGGTAGGGTAATGTACTGTACACTGAGGAACGTGCTCCACAGCCCCTGAGAGCCAGGCTGTCTGTGGCTTGAGATGGATGGTCTGATGGATGGGGCCCTAGCAACACGTTTCTTCACGCTGAAGAGCTCTTGTTGTAAGTGGGCCAGCAAGGGCAGAAATAGCCTTCCCCTCAAGAGCCTCTCCTCAAGGTCACTCTAGAGCCCAGGCCCCTTCAATGCATGGAGCTGGAGCAGGAGAACACATGCTCTCCCTGTGGCCTAATGACTTCCCCAGCCTGGCTATAGCAGGGCCACTAGACGGAAGGACGGACGGATTAGAATTTCAGCCAAACTGGCTACTCTTCTCGTTATTCTTTCCCCCCCTATAAAAAAACAATTCAACACAGAATATAATAATCACTTATCTGCTGGGAACATTATTGTAGAAGTGCTCTTGAGCTGAGTATCCATCCACAGCCTTAGTCCCTTTACTCTAAATCCTGTCTATGGACAGAGTACTTGGGTGAACCCGCTGGATGAGACTGGTAATAGTAGTAGCAGAGATTTGGGGAATTACTCCAACCCCCTGAAACCCCCTATCTGAGGCTGGAAACAAGGCTAGTCTGAGGGAAAGGAAGTTGGATCTATCTAACTGGCTTGTTGATCCCAAATGCTTTGATGCGAGCCCAGTCTCTAGAAATGAATGTGGTTATCTCTAAGTAGTCATACCAGAAAAGTAGTATTCTATGTCTGTCTGTCTGTCTGTCTGTCTGTCTGTCTGTCTGTCTGTCTGTCTGTCTGTCTGTCTGTCTGTCTGTCTGTCTGTCTGTCTGTCTGTCTGTCTGTCTGTCTGTCTGTCTGTCTGTCTGTCTGTCTGTCTGTCTGTCTGTCTGTCTGTCTGTCTGTCTGTCTGTCTGTCTGTCTGTCTGTCTGTCTGTCTGTCTGTCTGTCTGTCTGTCTGTCTGTCTGTCTGTCTGTCTGTCTGTCTCTCTCTCTCTCTCGTCTCTCTCTCTCCTCTCTCTCCTCTCTCTCTCTCTCTCTCTCTCTCTCTCTCTCTCTCTCTCTCTCTCTCTCTCTCTCTCTCTCTCTCTCTCTCTCTCTCTCTCTCTCTCTCTCTCTCTCCTCAGTGATCAGCTCAGTGATCAGCTGTTGGGGTGAGACCCAGCTGCCTTGGTGTTAACTCAGTGATAGTCATCATCAGCATTTGCCACTTGAAAGGAGAGAAGAGGATGGTGGTGTTAAAACATTTAATTGTGGGTCAATTCAGACCATTGGATCCAACGCAAGCTCTTATAATGACAGATCTCTTTTTTTCTTGGTACTTCACTTCCTTCCTTGGTAAGGTTTAGATAATATTGGAGTATGATAAATCAAATCAAAGTTTATTGGTTGTGTACACATATTTGCAGATGTTATCGCACGTGCAGCGAAATGCTTGTGTTTCTAGCTCCAACAATGCAGTAATACCTAGCAATATATACGGAACACAAATAAAGTGTTGGTCCCATGTTTCATGAGCTGAAATAAAAGATCCCAGTCATTTTCAAAACACACAAAAATATTATTTATCTCAAATTTTGAGCACAAGTTATTTATATATCCCTGTTAGTGAGCATTTCTCCTTTGCCAGGATAATCTATCCACCTGACAGGTGTGGCATATCAATAAGCTGATTAAAAAGCATGAATATCACACAGGTGCACCTTGTGCTGGGGACAATAAAAGGCCACTCTAAAATGTGCAGTTTTGTCACACAACATAATGCCACAGATGTCTCAAGGTTTGAGGGAGCGTGCAATTGGCATGCTGACTGCAGGAATGTCCACCAGAGCTGTTGCCGGAGAATTGAATGTTCATTTTTTCGACCATAAGCCGCCTCCAACGACAATTTAGAGAATTTGGCAGTACGTCCAACTGGCCTCACAACTGCAGACCACGTGTAACTTCACCTGCGGGATCATCTGAGATCAACTCTATGCGAAGGAGATGTGTCGTGCTGCAAGAGGCAACTGGTGGTCACACCAGATACTGACAGTTTTTTTGCTCCACGCCCCTACCTTTTTTTAAAGGTATCTATGACCAACAGATGCATATCTGTATTCCCAGTCATGTGAAATCCAGATTAGGGCCTAATGAATTTATTTCAATTGACTGATTTCCTCATATGAATGTAACTCAGTAAAATCTTTGAAATTGTTGCATGTTGCGTTTATATATATATATATTTTTTTGGGGTCATTTAGCAGACGCTCTTATCCAGAGCGACTTACAGTTAGTGAGTGCATACATTTTCATACTGGCCCCCCTTGGGAAACGAACCCACAACCCTGGCGTTGCAAGCGCCATGCTCTACCAACTGAGCTACAGGGGACTACACTGTATATATAAAAAAATAAGAATACACACATAATTCCGAAAAAAAAAAGGAAGAAAGAAACTAAAAATATCAGAACGAGCAATGTCAGATAAGATCCTCTCAGGAAGTGCAACTATAAAACATATTTGAAATGACTTATTATAAACTGGGTGGTTCGAGCCCTTAATGCTGATTGGCTGACAGCCAAACATTTATTTTTACTGCTCTGATTACATTGGTAACCAGTTTATAATAGCAATAAGACACCTTGGGGGTTTGTGGTATATGGCCAATATACCACGGCTAAGGGCTGTATCCAGGCACTCCGCGTTGCGTCGTGCTTAAGAACAGCTCTTAGCCGTGGTATATTGGCCATATACCACACCCCCTTGTGCCTTATTGCTTAATTCACCCCTCCGGACATTAAGTATACACTATCGTTCATCCTGTTCTTTGATCGGGACCAAGGCACTGGTATGCTAATGCATGCTTTGGAAGGGAGTAAACCTGTTCTCCTCAACTAAAATGACCATGCAGAGGTACTACAGTCAAGTAAATGTTATCCATGGCATGTTCCCCAAGCTGGCCCCTATGTTTTTATTAGAGCATTAAAGAAACTAGGCCCTGGATCAGTTTATTGGGGAAAGGCTGAAACCCATATGAAGCAGCAACAGGCCCCAGACCAGTTGACCCGCTCTGCAGCTGTGAAGAGTGGGGATGCTGTCACTTACAGTTCCTCATAAAAGCCTGTGGAAAGGCCTTAAATACAGGTTGAGGGGTAATTGATACTCTTGTGTTTGTAAAGGGGTTGGGATTGTGTACTTGTATGTGGGGCTAAAGACGGGCAGCCAGGGAGAGGGGGAATCCAGGCCTAACATGCAGCATTGGGAGAGAAAGCTGTAGGCTGACTCCAAGAGGTAAAGGAGCAGAAAGACGACTGCATCTTCCTCAAACTGAGAAAGTTGTTCAGAGCCACCAGCTGTTTTTAGCAGCTTCACAAACTGTCTCAACTAGTTCTGTTTCGTTTTTTTACTTTCCTTTTTCCTCTTTGCTAACACACTGCAGAGGAGGCCTTTGAGGAAAAATAAACACATCTTGATTTAATTAATAACTCCCCCTCATTATACTGTTTCCCCTTTGAAATTAACCATAAATTAAGAATATTTCACCAGAAATACAACTATTATGTTGGGTTTGGTCGTCATTTTCCCTCTCTCTACATATTCAATGCAAAACAAATAAGCAAATTAGTAGCAGCAGTCGGACATTGTTAAACACTCCTAACACTAATTCTGGAAAGGAGCTTGGATAGCATTACAGCCTTAGAGCCGTGCAAGTGTTTGTAAGATTACGACGGCCCAAAATAGCCAAGATGGAAGTAATCTGGTTTGAGTCCATAAATAAACCTATCAATACCAAATCACCTCTCCAAAGGCGATAACTAATTGTGACTGACTTCACATAGTTAAATCAAGTATATATTTTGATTTGTAATGGGATACACTGATTTCATTCCGAAAGTGGAACTATTTATTTTGGTCCCAAACAGACCCCTAGGACCCAGTTGTTACAATGATATGCTTAGGCCTATACATCAATTTGTCTACATTGGCTTTGAAGTTGTTTTACTATGGTGTGAATATATACTGAACAAAAATATGCAACAATTTCAAAGATTTTGCTGAGTTACAGTTCATATAAGGAAATCAGTCAATTGAAATGAATTCATTAGGCCCTAATCTATGGATTTCACATGACTGGGCAGGGGCGGAGCCATGGGTGGGCCTGGGAGGGCATAGGCCCACCCACTTGGGTGCCAGTCCCACCCAATCAGAATGAGTTTTTCCCCCACAAATAGGGCTTTATTACAGACAGAAATAGTCCTCAACACCCCGGCCCCCCTCCGCACAGAAGAAGGTGGAGAAGCCGGATATGGAAGTCCTGGGCTGGCGTGGTTACACGTGGGCTGCAGTTGTGAGGCCAGTTGGACGTACTGCCAAATTCTCTAACACGATGTTGGAGGTTGCTTATGGTAAAGAAATGAACATTTAATTATCTGGCAACAGCTCTGATGGACATTCCTGCAGTCATCATGACAATTACACGCTCCCTCAGAACTTGAGACATCTGTGACAAAACTGGACATTTTTAGAGTGGCCTTTTATTGTCCCCAGCACAAGGTGCACCTGTGTAATGATCATGCTGTTTAATCAGCTTCTTGCTATGCCACACCTGTCAGGTGGATGGATTATCTTGACAAAGGCTAAAATGCTCACTAACAGGGATATAACCAGATTTGTGCACAACATTTGAGAGAAATTAGTTTTTTGTGCTTATGAAACATTTCTGGGAGCTTTTCAGTGTAGATTGAAAGTACAGAGTCAATTATGAATGGTTTTGTACCAACTATGTTCCAATAGCCTGGTGTTCAAAAACATTCTTGCCTGTCACCTTTCCTTCCTGTTCATTGATGTGGATGAGCTGAAAGGTGAAGCTATTGTTCACCTCTCAGTGGTCATGAAGAAAGTAGTCAAGGACAGGGAGATATTTCAGAGGCCTAGTAACAATGTGTTTTTTTGTAAATATCTGTTGATAAACTGCTTATAAACATTTGATAATCAAGCAGTATATAAAATGACCTTTTAGACTGCAGTGTATTGGGAAATAAGTGCTGTTCGATTACCTTACTCCAGTCCACACTAGTGTTCTGTAGGCCATAGGCTATGACCCTTCTCCATTCTTCTACATTATATTGGTAATTGTTATGCATTTTGTTTACAGTGGCTTATACCTCCAATACCCCACAGTCCTTATATTCCCTTTCTCCCTCTCTCTCTCTCTCTTAGATGATTGCCCGGGGACAGTTCATTCGGGGAAATGGTTCAATTTGCATGCAAATGATTCCAAAACACCAGTCATTCACACCGCTAATTATACCACCAACGTTAGGACGGGGACTTCCTGACATCACGGATGGTCATTAGCATTCGGCAGGGGAGGAGGTGGTGGTGCTGGCAAGGACAGCCAGGCACTTATTCAGCCAGGCACTCAAGCGAGCAAGTAGCTGCTCAGCGCTCACTGAAAGTCCCTATGGAACATTTTTGTACTTTCTAGTTTTCTGTTGCTGCATCCGAAAAGAATTGTTTTGGATTTGTTCGAAACGTACACATTTTATGCTATTGCATTTTGGTATTTGTGTTCAACCGCTTATTGGGTTTTTTCTATAGGTGTCGCTTTACTTCCAAGAATCCGTGCGCTTGGTGGATGTGTTTGCGGAGCAGATTGACTAAAAGGCTCGCGGAGCGAAGGGGACGAATTGCGGCTTCGCACGGACCAGAGAGTGAGAGTGCAGGATATGTAAAACTGTGCCGCATGAATAGTAGGCTAGCCTAGACTATGAAAAGGCTTGCAATGATGAAAGTGTGTTTGAATACTAATATCACCGGAAGCAGAGCCATGCTCTCCCTCTCACCTACTTTGTAATAAGGTAAGCAAAGCCTACATTCTACGTTTTGCTCCATTATTTTGTATCAAGCTGTTATTGCGCAGCTGTTATTTCGGGTTTTAAACTGTGGTTTAGTTCAGTGATTCTGCCTTCATGTGCATTTTACCAGTAAGCCTATAGTCTCGTGAGTCTTCTCAAGTACCCCCCTGTGGATAGGCCAAGTCCCCCAGGGGTCCTAGTTACCCTGGTTGGGAACCACTGGTTTAGTTTACGAGAAGGAAATGACAAAAAGTGCCAGTTTGGGTGAACTGTTAGTGCTGTTGAAAGGTCGTGTTGAAAATGGGTTTGGTATTTTCTCACTGCAAGATAGGCTACATTTGATATTTTCTCACCACAAGATAGGCTACATTTGTTGCCTTTTGTGTTCTACAGTGTAGCCTATGTGGCTCTCATGGTGTGCTCGATTTAAACTAAAATCATATCAACATCAGTGGGCTATGAGTTGAAATGTATTTGACAATTAGGCATTCATTGCTAGTGCTACTACTTTGGAACTTATCATTCTGTAATTTAAAACAAATTAAGTGTGCTCACATGCAGTAGTAGAAATCATCTCACTATCTTCACCTCTCACTCATAAGCTATCCTCTGTAATGGATGTGTTATTATCCCTTTTGTCTACCCTTCGTAATCAAGCTAACCTGTGCCTTTCAGTGTGATTAGTCTTTGTTGTGTTGCCTCTAATGATCTGGCCCTGGCCTGCCACAGGATTGATTGAGTCAGATAGGTCACTTTGGATTAGCATATGAACAGACTAACTGGGGAATAATTAATACTGGGACACTCCAGCAGCTGGATAAGAGTCCAGGGGTAACGGAGATATCAGGCTGTATTGCGCTGAAACCTCTAGACTACCGGTTGCCTCAGTTCATAGGCAACCAACCATCTATGTCTTGGTATGCAAAACAATGCCAGGTCAGTTTTTGACCATCCATTTTCAACACCATGAAATTGTTTAATTCAGTCCATTAGGCTACATTGTGTTTGTCAGCTTTTCAAACTTGCTGATCCTTTTACAGATGGGTTCCCCAATGACAGCTTGACAGTCTCTCTTGAGATTAGCTACAGTTCCATATGAGGACTGAGTCTCAGGAGCCTGAAAAACTTGCCCTCTCTGTGACTTGCCATGCATCTGGCACAGTAGCAGTTACAGAACAAGTAAACACTTATGAATAAGTAATATGATATTCTGGTATGAAGCTGCTGTAGCTGAAAAGCATCATGCTCAGTTAGATGTTACATCAATCTAATCCTCGCTCACTTCCTGCACTTACCACTCTAAACCTGCACAAATCACATAAAGAAGCAGCGTAGAGAGATGACTGGCCTTTTTTCCCCAATCTACTTCTCTGAGACAAACTACATTATGCAATAAAGTGTCCAGTGTGTGTGTGGCTGCTTATCATATTGTTTGTTGTCTTGTAGGTGCCTGTGTGTGTTGGAGAGAAAGAATGGTTTATGGATTATGATTTATTGCAGCAGGTGGGCGCAGGCCTAATCTCCATTAGATGGAACATATTGGATCGAGTCACCAGGAATTAGCTGCTACTAACAAACGCCTTTGTTGAGTTTGACTGCTCTTCTGAATGTTGTGCAGTTAAGTGATTAAAGCTGATCATACATGCTTCAAAAAACGACCAAATTAGGCCAAACAAAGACTAAATACTTTGTTACTGTTTCCTTTGACACAGTACCATTACATTCCTGAAAACCCTTGAACATGCAATCTTAATAACACTGAATGGAAATGTCCATCTGATCTCACAGAACAAAAGGCAGTTAAAAAATAGAGAAAGAATCTGTCCTCCTCTTTTCCAGAGAAAACAAAAGCAGCAGAAAAAAGAGAAATGTTTGCCTCCAGCTGTTCCTCAGAACCTCTCCTCTGGGCTGCCATTTAAACATGGTGTCTAATCTGTCCGGAATGATGCCATGAAAAGTGGCATTCGCTCTGGGAGCCACTCTGGAATGAGTCTGGGATGGGGGTCCTTTCGGAGACCATATCAAGACCTCTCAGCTCCATGGCTGTTTTTCAGGAAGACGAGGGTTGTGGATGTGTTGCACACTTTAGAGGAGGTGTTTACGAACCTGGATGACACCTTACCCTATAGCAGATGTACCTGTTAAATTTGGGTTAGTTAAATGAATGGCACCACCACTCAACCCAACCTGTTGATTATTCCCTCAGTTGACAGAGGATTTGTACCAGTACCTCAGAGGATTTGTACTAGTCCGTAGGTGGTTGTTAAGAATTCTAGAGGGGTGAATAAATAATGCTTGATAAAATACAGTACATATCTCTAGTCTAGTTAGAACTTGTCTGTGTGTGGGTCAGTCTGTAGTTTCTTGGGCATTAGTTTCAATAGTGGATTTAGCCTGTGCTGTTGGTGTGTCGACTGACTGTGCAGTGTGTCAGCGTGTAGCTGTTTAACTTGGCTGTTGCCGGGGGGACGTGAGGGGCGATGCGATGATAAACACTGCGGTGGTGAATGATTGTCTGCTTACATCCGTCTCAGGGATTATTGTCCACTCGGATATCTTCCAGTCCGTAAAGGGTTCCTGCTGTGTTGTGCTGTGCTCTGGCCATGGACGGACTGGCTTTATCTGCCCCAGGAGAGGAAAGGTCAGTCATGTTTAAAGGGGAAACAGTCTACTTAATTTACTTCATTCTCCTCCCTTTACTTTGTGGAGGTTTTTTAAGAGGCGTTGGTGATGTACTTGTATTACCAGAGCACTCAATCCCCCTAATTGAAGTCATGTAGATGACCAGCGTAACATGGGATAGTGTTTCAGGCTGGAAGTTCCAGTCAAACAGAGGCTCAGGCCCTGGGCATATCTCTGCCAATTCTGAAGCAGGGAGATCAGATGTTTGAGAGGTGAATCACTGGACGATGGCCTCCATCTGGAGAGAGAGAGAGAGAGACTCATGGGACCCACGGGACTCCAGCCCTTCTGCTCACATGTCCAGCTCAAAGACGAAGATAACCATTGGCTTGGTGTTTGTAAGGCCTCTGTCGGTGTCAAAACAGAGACACTACTCTAACCAGGAATCCAGGCCCAATGTACTCCTCCAGGCTATATTTAAACCCTTATCGCTAATCCTGCTCTCTACCAAAAAGGCAGAATGAACCCACTAGCATCAAGAGGAGTGGGAGATGTGTGTGTAGCATATTTTTTTTAATTTTTTCATGTTTCTTTTGGCGTGGTTTCCTGAATCATCTCTCGTGTGTGCTAACGTACATTCGGTGTGTGAGTATGTGTGTTTGTCTCCTGTTAATCACACATCCATTAGTCATGATGGGGAACTGCTGTATTGTAATGAGAGGACTCAGGATGCTTTAGCCCCAGGCTAGGTGTCCTACCTCTGGGATGGGTTGTTTAGTAATCCATTCTCCTCCACTGTACGGATGGACTGGTTGTCAGAGAGCTGATGACTTTGTCTGCAAGCCAAGGCCTGGCTCCATGTACTACTTACCGCTTCCATCAATATTAATAGATAAGATATCTTGGCGTTTCAGTGTATGTTGCTTTAATATTCATGTAGACTTCTCGCTGAAGCCAATCGCCTCCAGGAACTCAGGTAGATTGCCCTTGCCAAAGGATATTGAAGAAGCAGAGATCTGTCTTTTAGACATGTACTAGGCCCCAGACATGCATCACTAGTTTATTTAATAATTTTTAACATGTCAGAAAGCTGTCCACTAATGTAATTGGGGAATCCATCCGACCAAAACCATATGTAATTTTTTTGTTCTCAATAGTAATCAGCCACCTCTCTATTTCACTTCATAATGCTCATGGGAATAACTAGTTAATAACAACCCATTGCAGATACAAATGTTTAGTTCACCGTTTATAAAGGCAGAAACGCTCTTTGGATGGTGAGGCAAATCAGGTGGTGTGACTAGCTAACTGACTAACAGGGTAACTGCACAGAGTTGTGCTTTCAGGCATCTACACTGTTCCCAGTAAAAGTCTCTGTCTCTTTCTGGCCGTCAAAGAGGCCTAAGCCCCTGTTCCTCTGACCCTGTGCTGCCCACCAGGCGTCTGGCTGGGTTATGGGATTAGCTGCCAGAGGGGCAGCAGAGGTTAGTGGATATGACCTGCAGGCTAACCCCATGTCCGCTGGTTACAGGGTCTGCTGCCCGAACAGAGGACTTTCACCATGTTCATCTGAGTGTGGGTGTAGCCTAGTTCACAACATTAGTTTGTTCTATTTCTAAGGTGGGTGGGTGGGTGGGGGGGGGGGTTTCCTTAACCGGTTTGTCATTATGTCCTCACTTGCGTTACCTAGAGAATTGTGGGAGCTAGAATGTCTCTGAGATCCTTCTTACTCGGTGAGACGCACGGCAGGAAGCCTTGACATGTGAACCCTGGCCCTTGAACTCTGGTGGAGTTTAGATATCACATGCTTCGTTGCTTTGCAATAGAAAACCCTCAAAACAAAGATAGACATCGGAAGAGTTCTGAACTCAACCCACATTTTGCCATACATACAAGACATAAGTCCTGGTTGGTTAGCAACAGTGTTTAATATCACTATTCACTTGGACATGTGTCCACTCTAAGCTTTGACTATGGATAACTCTTGATCACTTTTCTCTTTCCTGAAGAGAAAAGTGTCTACTGTAACCTTTGATAACTCATCACTGACATATTTTCTCTGTCCCTGCGTCCTGTAGGAAGATCTGTATCCACTGTAAGTGCAGGCGTGAGGAGCATGTGGTGACAGCCGTGCCTCTGGAGATGGAGAAGACCGTCACTAAGCTGATGTACGACTTCCAGAGGAACTCCACCTCAGACGACGACTCAGGCTGCGCACTGGAGGAGTATGCCTGGGTGCCCCCGGGGCTCAAACCTGAACAGGTATGAAAGATAGACACACACGCACACACACTGGGGGTATGGTTTGATTTCCCTATTCAAACTTCTCTGTGATGGATCAAAGTTTAACTCACCATCTAATGTTGCATGTGTGGTGTTCAAGTAAGCCGATTGGTTTACAAGGATTATATGATGCCAGGGGTTGAATTAATATCTAATTAATTCTGCTTGCAAACTGTTTACTCGTAATTTACAAGCCCGTTGTTGACTTTGTTAAGCTGGGATATGCAGAAACAAGGTGTGCGTGTGTTGGAGTTTTTTGATTGGACAATGAAACCTTTATACATGTGAGTTTCATTTTCTTGATGAACTGAAAGCAAGCCTTATTGCCTGTGCAATGGGGTGGTCAATACGCTGTTCTCGTCCCCATTTCAGTCGCGCAAGGCTGAGCACAGCCATTTTTCATCCCCAAAGGTCACGTGACCTCCAGTCAATTAAGCCACACTTTAAAAGCAGCACAACACTGGCCTGCCAAACTGGAGACCGAAGAGGATAGACTGACTGATAGCTTTCCAAAGCAGTAGGGCAATAAGACTGGCAATGTTACTGTTAAAGGAGAGGCTTTGCATTGAGGAAATAGGCTATAGTTTGTAGGATTTACTGCTGGTTGCATAATTATGTACATTGAATTTCCAGGTATACAGTTAAGCTCTTCCAAAACTGACATACAAGTCAGTCAAGTCATATAAATGTTTTTTTGACCTTGCACGGTGGGGGGAGGCTATCTATTGAGGTACTTTTCAATGCCCTGCCCAGCCACAGAGGGAGATGGTGAATACCACCAGTTAATCTGTAGAATCTGAGCTCCATCCAGGTTTAGGTTTCTCCTCAGGGACAGAGTTCCACCGCCCCATCTGGAGGAACCTGCTATTCAGTCTCAACTGGTGTCAAGTCACCATTCTGTAACTACGTATTTTAGCAGTCCACAAAGACTGTGGGAGCTATTCCATCAACCAGTGTTTCCATAATAACTACACATGATTTCCCCTTGCTCTGTAATGAACGTCTGGATTCATGCAGTAACACAATTGTATTTGCAATGTGAAACTGAAAGAATCTCAGCTGCATTTCAACTACAATAATCATGTTTTTAGTTATCTCTGAAACCAGGTATCAGAGTTTATTGAGTTTTAAGTAATAGGGAATTGAGTTTCCTGAACATTGCTTTTACTCATTTTTATAAGACTGCCATTATTGACTGTACTGAGAAGTTATTGGTTCTGGTCTCAGGAAGGCCCAGCCAATATACACTCTCTCTCTCGATGTCAGAGCTAATAAAATGTCAGGAAGTTGCCAGGATACGGGAAGTTGAGGCCAAATATGTTACTAAAGTAGCCGTTACTGATGTCTCTCAGCTGTTGAAGAGGCAGATCACGCAGTGTCACAAGAGATAGGGAAGAATCTGCTTTTGTCATCCAAGAGGAAATTAAATCTTAAAGCTTTTATTATTTCAACCTTTACACTTACATTGAAGGAAACGGCAGCCTGTTAACATTTATTGTACTTTGGAATGGCAGTCCTCCCTTCTTGCCCATGTGTGGCAGGCTGTTGCAATGGTGTTTTGTTAAAGTGTGGTATGTCCAATAAACAATCACTGTTGCTTGTTATAGTGTGTCAGGACTGGTCTTTGGTTGTGTCCTAAACGCTGTCAGTCTCCAGTGAACAGAGATGAAAAAGAGCTGTGGGGGGATGTTGGTTTCTAACATAAACCCTACCATTAGATTTACCCTTTAAAAGTCATATAGTCTCTGTACAATTAGAAAGCAGATTCAATCTGAGGCCATTTACACTGAACAAAAATATAAACGCAACATGTAAAGTGTTGGTCCCATGTTCCATGAGCTGAAATAAAAGATTCCAGAAATTTCCCATACGCACAAAAAGCATATTTCTCTCAAATTTTGTGCACAAATTTGTTTACATCCCTGTCAGTGAGCATTGCTCCTTTGCCAAGATAGAATTTGGCACTACGTCCAACCAGCCTCACAACCGCAGACCATGTGTAACCACGCCAGCCCAGGACCTCCACATCCGGCTTCTTCACCTGTGGGATCATCTAAGACCAGCCACCTGGACAGCTGATAAAACTGTGGGTTTGCACAACCGAAGAATTTCTGTCAGAAACCGTCTCAGGGAAGCTCATCTGCGTGCTTGTCATCCTCACCAGGGTCTTGACCTGACTGCAGTTCGGCTTCGTAACCGACTTCAGTGGGCAAATGCTCACCTTCAGTGGCCACTGGCACACTGAACAAGTGTGCTCTTCATGGATGAATCCCGGTTTCAACTGTACTGGGCAGATGGTGTCGGACACATTTGACATTTTAGTCATTTAGCAGACGCTCTTATCCAGAGTGACTTACAGTTAGTGAGTGCATACATTTTCATACTGGCCCCCCGTAGGAAACAAACCCACAACCCTGGCGTTGCAAGCACCATGCTCTACCAACTGAGCTACAGGGGACTACACAAACACAATTAAATTTTATCAATGGCAATTTGAATGCACAGAGATACCGTGACGAGATTCTGAGGCCCATTGTCATGCTATTCATCCGCCGCCATCACCTCATGTTTCAGCATGATAATGCTTGGCTCCATGTCGCAAGGATCTGTACACAATTCCTGGAAGTATAAAATGTCCAAGATCTTCCATGGTCTGCATACTCCCCAGACATTTCACCCATTGAGCATGTTTGGGATGCTCTGGATTGACTTGTACGACAGCATGTTCCAGTTCCCGCCAATATCCATCAACTTCGCACAGCCATTGAAGAGGAGTGGGATAACATTCCACAGGCCACAATCAATAGCCTGATCAACTTTATGCGAAGGAGATGTCGCGCTGCAGGAGGCAAATGGTGGTCACACCAGATACTGACTGGTTTTCTGATCCACGACCCTACCTTTTCTTAAGGTATCTGTGACCTAATTTATTTATTTAAATTGACTGATTTCCTTATATAAACTGTAACACAGTAAAATATTAGAAATTGTTGCATGTTGCCTTTATATTTTTGTTCAGTGTAGTTTCTATGGCCCTAATTACTATTATTATCCCAATCTGCTCATCCTAACTGGCTCTGGGGAGGGGGGGCTGGGTGTGCCCTGCTCCACACATCTACCACACAACAGTGTGGGCATCAAGAGTGTAATGGTCTGTTGTTGTTGGACGTGTGTTCAGTGATTTATCAGAGTTTGGATATCAGAGGCTTTCAATATCTATATTTTTCTGTATTCTTTGCAGTGAATAAATGCAGAAGGCTTTCTTCATTATTCAGGGGTATATATCCATATTGTTGTGGTGGCAGGCCCTTTGTACTGTACGCAAGGACAAAGCTGACAGGTTCCAGTCCAAAGATCCATTCATTAGATAGATGGGCCATTAAAATTGGCTACCTGTGGCCCTGTGGTCAGCACATATTAATTGCCTCTCCTGTACTTCTGGCCCCCTAATCTCTCCATCTCTCTCTCTCTTTCCGTCCTCTGGCGCTCGATACTCCTGAAATCACAGCCATTGAAGAACACTGGTCCCGATTATGTTCTCCCCCCGTGTAACTCTGAAAGACTAATACATTTCACCAAGATGGCATTCATTGTTGGCCAGCATAATGTAAAGAATGTAGCAGTCATTTTGAGATTAGCATTAAGCCTCTGTCTGGCAAACACACGGTTAATGACTGTAATGTGTGTGTGTGTGTGTGTGTGTGTGTGTGTGTGTGTGTTCCTGTGGTAGGGGGTTCACAATGTAGATATACATTTTCTTCCTTACTCATATAGCCTACGGGGTTCCAATAAATGTTAATTTGCCACTTGTGGGCCAATCTCTGTACCATGTCACTAGTATTAGTGGTAGTGGTGGCCTGACCAGCCCTGGTCTCTCTCCCGTCAGGTTCATCACTACTACAGCTCCCTGCCTGAGGACAAGGTGCCCTATGTGAACAGCCCAGGAGAGAAGCACCGCATCAAACAGCTCCTCCATCAGCTGCCCCCCCACGACAATGAGGTAAGACCCTTAGCCCTCCTCCCGTCTGCCCCCCGGGCACACAGATGTTGGGAAGGGGGCATTTGTCACCGGGACATCTTAACTCTCTAGTGTCTCTAACTCTGGATCATTTGTGTTTGTCTCTGCAGCCCTTCATTACATGTTGAATAATCTCTGTGTGTTTTCCAGGTGCGTTACTGTAACACTTTGGACGATGAGGAGAAGAGGGAGCTCAAACTCTTCAGTAACCAACGGAAACGGGAGAATCTGGGCCGCGGCAATGTGAGACCATTTCCCGTGACGATGACTGGAGCGATCTGTGAGCAGGTACAGTAACTCCAGCGGGACTGGGACTGGTTCACACACAGGCGCTCACATGAGAAGGTCAGATGGAGGACAGACACATAGTAGAGGCTATACAGGTGTGGCCATAGTTGGATAGATATGATAGAAATACGCGTATAGCCATCTCTCACACGAAAAACACATTACAAAAGTAATCAAAGAAAATACTGTAAAGGCGAAGGACTCACCTTTCTTTTGTGGTAGAACCCAGTGACATTTCTGTCTTTTATTGTGATTCACCACGTGAAGAGCTCAGCTGACATTTAAAAGAAGCTGATAAAATGGAGCCTCACATTCAAGTCATGACCCAGCCTCTCAACTGTGGTAGATTTGCCTGCCTGCCTTTCTGTGTTTTCCCTCCTCATCTCTCCCAATAGCTTGGCCAGAACAGATGTCACACTGACACACTAATGGCTTATAGGCTCCTTGATGCTGTGTTTTTGATCCTAACTCTTCACCTTATGTTATACTGTACCTTGGAACGTACATTCCAGATTAGATCTCCTGAAGGTACATCGCAGTCTAGATAAACAAATCTTGATTTAGCTTTAGTCTACAGCTTTAAGACATGGAGCCAATATTATATGAGATGAAAAGCACATTGTTTTCATTCAGAAACACACTCAGCCCCCAGTCATTCCCTTACAGACCTGAGGCAGTTCTGCAATGCTCTGTTATGTTTCTGCCCTGTTTGTATCCACATTTTACTCGCTGAGTTTCTTGCTAAGCAGACAACCACAGGAGTGAGTGTGTGAGGGAGTAGATTGTTCTAAGAGTCTGTATTGATTTAATCCCCTCCCCCGGCTGACCTCTATGCGTAGCAGGTCTGTGTGCCAGTTAGCAGGTCTGTGTGCCAGTTAGATAACCTGATTTGTAATTCTCTTCTCTCCCTTTCTGTCTCTGTCCCACCTCTCTAAATTTCCCTCTCTGTCTCCTTCACTCACTCTCCCCCTCCTTTTCTCCCCTCCCTACCATTCCCACTCCCTGTACCTTTCTCTTCTTCAAATCTTCCTCTCCCCTCTTCAAATCTTCCTCTCCCCTCTTCAAATCTTCCTCTCTCCTCTTCAAATATTCCTCTCCCCTCTTCAAATCTTCCTCTCCCCTCTTCAAATATTCCTCTCCCCTCTTCAAATCTTCCTCTCTCCTCTTCAAATCTTCCTCTCCCCTCTTCAAATATTCCTCTCCCCTCTTCAAATCTTCCTCTCTCCTCTTCAAATCTTCCTCTCTCCTCTTCAAATCTTCCTCTCCCCTCTTCAAATCTTCCTCTCCCCTCTTCAAATCTTCCTCTCTCCTCTTCAAATCTTCCTCTCCCCTCTTCAAATCTTCCTCTCCCCTCTTCAAATATTCCTCTCCCCTCTTCAAATCTTCCTCTCCCCTCTTCAAATCTTCCTCTCTCCTCTTCAAATCTTCCTCTCCCCTCGTCAAATCTTCCTCTCCCCTCTTCAAATCTTCCTCTCTCGTCTTCAAATCTTCCTCTCTCTGTTCCCTTTTTCTTTCCTCTCCCATCTCTCTCTCCTCCCCATCTCTCTCCTCCCCATCTCTCTCCTCCACCATCGCTCTCTTTCTATCTCCTAGTGTGGAGGGCAGATAAACGGAGGTGACATTGCAGTGTTTGCGTCGCGGGCAGGACACGGCGTGTGTTGGCACCCTGGCTGCTTCGTGTGCAGCATGTGTGATGAGCTGCTGGTGGACCTCATCTACTTCTACCAGGAAGGGAAGATCTACTGTGGTCGGCACCACGCAGAGAGACTCAAACCACGCTGCTCCGCCTGTGACGAGGTAGGAGCAGACCCTGCTAAACACACACAAATCAAATCAAATTTGATTGGTCACATGCGCCGAATACAACCAGTGTAGACTTTACAGTGAAATGTTTACTTACGAGCCCATTCCCAAAAGAGTTAAAAAGTAAGACAAATATTTGCTAATTGTGTGTGTGTGTGAGCGTATGTAGTGTGTTGGAGTGTCAGTGTAGTATGTGTGGGTAGAGTCTAGTGAGTGTGCATAGAGCCAGTGCAAGGGAGTCAGTGCAAAACAATTAAGATAAATAAATAAATAATAGAGGGGGTCAATGTAAATTGTCCGGGTAGACATTTGATTAACTGTTCAGCAGTTTTATGGCTTTGGGGTTGAAGCTGTTCAGGTGCCTTTTGGTTACAGACTTGGCGCTCCGGTACTGCTTGCCGTGCAGAGAGAACAGTCTATGACTTGGGTGGCTGAAGTCTTTGACCATTTTTAGGGCATTCCTCAGACACCGCCTGGTATAGAGGTCCTGGATGGCAGGGAGTTCGGCCCCAGTGATGTACTGGGCCATACGCACTACCCTCTGTAGCGCCTTGCAGTTGGAATGCTGAGCAAATGCTATGCCAAACGGTGATGCACCCAGTCAAGATGCTCTCAATGGTGCAGCTGTAAAACCTTTTGAGAATCTGAGGGCCCATGCCAAATATTTTCAGCCTCCTGAGAGCGAAGAGGCATTGTCGTGCCCTCATCACGACTATGTTGATGTTTTTGGACCATGATAGGTCCTTAGTGATGTGGACACTGAGGAACTTGAAGCTCTCGACCCGCTCCACTACAGCCCGTCGATGTGAATGTGGGTGTGTTCTGCCCTCCATTTCCTGTAGTCCACAATAAGCGCCTTTGTCTTGCTCACGTTGAGGTAGAGGTTGTTATCCTGGCACCACACTTCCAGGTCTCTGACCTACTCCCTATATGCTGTCTCATCGTTGTCAGTGATCAGGCCTACCACCGTCGTCGTCGGGAAACTTAATGATGGTGTTGGAGTCATGCGCTGCCACACAGTCGTCGGTGAACAAAGCATATGTGCCCATGTATGCTGATGATTCAACCATATACGCATCAGCAACCACAGCTAATGAAGTCACTGAAACCCTTAACAAAGAGTTGCAGTCTGTTTTGTAATGGGTGACCAGTAATAAACTGGTCCTGAACATCTCTAAAACTAAGAGCATTGTATTTGGTGCAAATCATTCCCTAAATTGTAGACCTCAGCTGAATCTGGTAATGAATGGCGTGGCTGTTGAACAAGTTGAGGAGACTAAATTACTTGGTGTTACCTTAGATTGTAAACTGTCATGGTCAAAACCTATAGATTCAATGGTTATAAAGATGGGGATAGGTCAGTCTGTAATAAAGAGGTGGTCTGCTTTTTTGACACCAAACTCCAAGAAGCAAGTCCTGCAGGCTCTAGTTTTATTTTATCTTGATTATTGTCCAGTCATATGGTCAAGTGCTGCAAAGAAAATATGCAGCTGGCCCAGAACAGAGCCACACGTCTTGCTCTTCATTGTAATCAGAGGTCTTATATTAATACTATGCATGCCAGTCTCTCTTGGATTGAGGAAAGAGTGACTGTATCACTTCTTGGTTTTATAAGAAACATTAATGTGTTGGAAATTCCAAATTGTTTGCATAGTCAACTTACTCACAGCACTGACACACAGACTTACCCCACCAGACATGCCACCAGGGGCCTTTTCACAGTTCCCATGTCCAGAACAAATTCAAGGAAACATACAGTATTATACAGAGCCATCTTATATAGCACAAGTGAACAGCAAACCTGGTTTCAAAAAACAAATAAAGCAACACCTCACGGCACAACACCTCTCCTCCATGTGACCTACTTGTTGTGTGTATGTACTGACATGTATGTGTAACTGATAGATGCACACACACACACACTACATGTTCATGTTTTAAAATGTACAGTAGCAGTCAAAAGTTTGGACACACCTACTCATTCAAGGGTTTTTCTTTATTTGTACTATTTTCTACATTGTAGAATTCAAAACTATGAAATAACACATATGGAATCATGTAGTAACCAAAAAAAGTGTTAAACAAATATTTTAAATTTGAGATTCTTCAAATAGCCTCCCTTTGCCTTGATGACATCATTGCACACTCTTGGCATTCTCTCAACCAGCTTCACCTGGAATGCTTTTCCAACAGTCTTGAAGGAGGTCTCACATATGCTTAGCACTTGTTGGCTACTTTGGGTCTTCCATTCCTGTGGTGGTCCTCATGAGAGCCAGTTTCATCATAGCGCTTGATGGTTTTTGCGACTGCACTTGAAGAAACTTTAAAAGTTCTTGAAATGGTCCGTATTGACTGACCTTCATGTCTTAAAATAATGATGGACTGTCATCTCTCTTTGCTTATTTGAGCTGTTCTTGCCATAATATGGACTTGGTATTTTACCAAATAGGGCTATCTTCTGTATACCCCCCCTACCTTGTCACAACACAACTGATTGGCTCAAACGCATTAAGAAGGAAAGACATTCCACTTTTAAGAAGGCACACCTGTTAATTGAAATGCATTCCAGGTGACTACCTCATGAAGCTGGTTGAGAGAATGCCAAGAGTGTGCAAAGCTGTCATCAAGGCAAAGGGTGGCTATTTGAAGAATCTCAAATATAAAATATATTTTGATTCATTTAACACTTTTTTGGTTACTACATGATTCCATATGTGTTATTTAGTAGTTTCGATGTCTTAGGCTTTCCCATACTCATCCACACATATAACAGAAGTACAACAAATAGTATATTGACTACTATAAGTGCTAGTGACACTAACTGCCATGCAAAACACAATAGATGATTTAGACATGGGTAAACAGAGGAGGCCTATATGGTGTCTTGAAATACACTGCTATAACATGGGAATAATTCAACATTGATTTTCATTAGATCTCCATACACATGATCCCAAAGAGTGGACAGTGTGGATGGTGTAATACAGTAGGACAGTGTCTGTCAGTATGGGGGAGGAATAGGGAGAGGAAGAGGGCTACAGGCAGCGAGGCCTTGAAGTCTTTGCCCTGTCATTCTCTGTAATTGGGTGAGCAGGGCCTTGCCTCAGAGAAAAAGCAGCATGATAAATGATACGTTCCTCATCCCTCTCTCCTCTCTTTCCTCTCTCCGTCTGTAGATCATCTTTGCGGACGAGTGCACAGAGGCAGAGGGTAGGCACTGGCACATGAAGCACTTCTGCTGTTTCGAGTGTGAGACGGTGCTGGGCGGCCAGCGCTACATCATGAAGGAGGGCCGTCCCTACTGCTGCAGCTGTTTCGAGTCCCTCTACGCAGAGTACTGTGACTCCTGTGGGGAACACATCGGTATGCCACGCACCCACCCCATCCATCAGAGCCAACGCACAAACCCTACTGTAGAGCGCTAGAGCACTGGCACACGTAAAGCAAGACAAATGGGACGCTATTTCAGCTGCAAGATTTCAGTAATGTTAAGAGAGAACAGAGGAATGACCTGGATTTAGCCTGGAAAACATTTCAGGGAGAAATATGCATGGCTGCAGAGATGACCTGCTTTCAGTAGAATTGAACTGTGTCTATGATTTAACTCAACACTGGCATGCAGATACCCCAAGGCACGGATACAGGTAGTGTCTTTTAAAACAGACTAGATGAACTTAACACTGTTTTCACAAAGGGGAAAAAGATCAGTGGGTGAACAATTTAAAATGTATATAGTAGATAAACAGTTTCATACATTTTCAGAAGGTAATTTTCTGTATGTTAACCAAACCCGTTCTGAGCAGGACTACTTTTCACAGGGTAAACCTAGCGACTTATCACCAGTTGGCCCAGTGCCATCTCTGTGCTATTCTCTCAGTCCAGAGAGCCGCTGGCTTATCCCTCAACAGGATCCCCAGCTGTGATCTGGCACGGCCCTCAGCAAACAGACATGCAGCTCTGTCATTATTTGTTATACAGGATACAGAAAGTATTTGAGTAATACTGATTATAAATGGAAACCATCAGAAACCATTTGAAACCAGATGGCAGCCATTAACCGAGGACTGTTCTCCCAACTGCAAACATACTTAAAATGCAATGCATAGTACATAATGAGTTTACCCCTAAACTCAGCTAAGTGTTGTAGCCCCAGGGCCTTTCTTCACTCAAGTTTACTTATAATTTCCTACTCATTTCCTATTAAAATGGAGTTGGAAAATGTTCCAGTTTATGGACGATATCTATATCTTTTGATAAGGGAGTTCTCCCTCTAGAATATTTAGCTGATGTTTTGTATTTGATTAGCCTTAATTTGCCTTGCTGCTTATAGCACTTTATCTTTCACATTCCCCACCTACAATATCTCCACAATGATTAGTCTTGATGGTTCTCTGTTGCAGGCATTGACTCATTACAGAGCAAAAGAGTAAAGATTATTGGGTCCTTCTCATAAAAATGTTGGCTTATAAGTGTTTTCCCCTCTGTCCCTCAGGCATTGACCAGGGCCAGATGACATATGATGGTCAGCACTGGCACGCCACAGAGGGCTGTTTCTGCTGTGCCCGCTGTAAGAGCTCCCTCCTAGGTCGCCCCTTCCTGCCCAAACAGGGACAGATCTTCTGCTCGCGCTCCTGCAGCCTGGGGGAGGAGCCTAACGGGTCAGACTCCTCAGACTCTGCCTTCCAGAGCGCACGCTCCACTCGAGAGTCCCGCCGCAGCTCCAAGGCTGGAAAGAACGGGGGGCAGGCGGGGAGGTTTTCGGGTGAGGTGGACCCTCTCTCCTTACAGATGGACTTGCTGAGTCTGTCCAGCCAGACGCCCAGTTTGACCCGCGAGCCGCCGGCATGGCAGAGCCAGGGACAGGGGGGTGACACGTACCCCTACGAGGGCCGATCAGACCACACAGCAACACCCACCCCACTCCATCTGCCCAGCCAATTCAACGTCAGGACTGCATATAATTCCACCTCCCCCGGGCAGGGCAACCAACCAAACCACAGGTCCAAGGAGACAGGTGTCACCAAGAGGCTGCCCATCTCAGCCCTGAAGGGCCGCTCTATGAATGAGAACTGGTTCCATCAAGGTTCAGGGGACTACTACCCCCCCAAACTGAAACCCCAGCAAAGCTTTGACGTACCCCACAGCTCGTCACACCACAACGGCTTTTCTGATAAGCGCTCAGTCAGTCTGCATGTGTTCCAGAGGGAGAACCAGAGGGACAGGGAGAGGGAGAACCAGAGGGACAGGGAGAGGGAGAACCAGAGGGACAGGGAGAGGGAGAACCAGAGGGACAGGGAGAGGGAGGTGGGGCTTCCCCAGCTGGGACGCAGCAGGAACCCCATCAGCGCACTTAGCTTCACGGAGCAGCTCACTCCCGTAGAGCAGACACCCAGGGGTTCTATGGAGTCACTGGCCCTGTCCAACGCTACAGGTAACTCTTCCAAATTCACCATGGCGGGAAGATTAATTAATGTGATTGTATTTGAAGCAATATACTGTATTTAATTGCTTAGGACATTTATTTCTCACAGAATACTGCAACCTATCCAGAGGCAATTACATACTGTATGCATTTCTCATAAGAGTGTAATGTCTATTATGTCAATGGATATGAGATTTATTGACGTAATAATGATAATAATGAGGATAACTGATGAAGTTGACCACTGACTAACCCCCCCTGTTGTTTCTCTGAAGGAATGTCAGCAGACGGAGGAGGGAAGCGCCAGGAGCACCTGTCTCGTTTCTCCATGCCAGACCTGAGCAAAGACTCTGGCATGAATGTGTCAGAAAAGAGCAACATGGGCACCCTCAACTCCTCTGTCCAGTTCCACAGCTCTGACTCTCTGCGCAGCCTCACCTCAGGCCAGCCCTACATGGAGCTGGAGCCCCCGGTGCAGGTGCAGTACCCTCTGCAGTACTGTGAGCCCCAAGGCCTGGGGATGGGCATGAGCCGCCTGCCAGCCAGCTTCACCTACCAGGAGGAGGACAGGGTCAGCCTGGTGAACAGTGCCAATGCTGCCCGCCTCCCGCCCATCAGCGAGCGCACGCGGAGACGAGGAGAGGGCCCGGGCATGGCTGCCCCTGAAGACACCCCTCAGCGCCGGAGACACCATCACCACCGCTCCCGTCGCTCCAGACGCTCCCGCTCGGAGAACGCCCTGCACCTGGCCGCTGAGCACAGGGAGAGACCCCAGGAGAGGCCCCAGCTGAGAGTCAGGGAGGACTATGACCAGTTCCCCCCTCCGCGGGGCACCAGGGACCCGTTTGGGGGTGTAGGGGGGAGGTGCAGGGGGCCAGAGCCATTCAGGCAGTGCCCTCGCACCACCTCTGACCTCACCCTGCAGAAGCCCAGTGCCCACCGCCGTCTCGCCGGGCCCTACTCCTGGGATGACTATGAGGATGAGGACGAGTGGTGCTCCACCTGCTCTTCATCGTCTGAGTCAGAGGACGAGGGTTACTTCCTGGGAGAGCCCATTCCTAGGCCTGTGCAGCTGAGGTACCTGAGCAGCCAGGAGCTCCTCCACAAGTACAGCTCCACAGGGGTGGGTGGACCGCACCAAATGAGCGGCAGAGGGGGACAGCTGCACACCCGTAAACGCCGGAAAAGCAAGAACTGCATAATCTCTTAACATTTGCCCCATGGCAAGAGACAAGAGAATGTGCCCTCCCTCCCTCTTTATACACTAACATAGTTCATATGTTCAAAAAAGAAAAAGATAAACAGCCACTCCTCTGAAGTTGTTGAGTATTGTGAGGTTGACAGCGTGTGATATGCAGTTGGGTAAACCGTTGACAGCACAAATGTTTTGCATGTTTATCCATTTAATGTTTCAGAAGTTATCCTGAGTATTGATTATATTTTTCTGACTCTCACACTGCGCTCTGCTTGTCTGTCACCATATTTATCAAAGCCAACGTGCAATCGTAATAATAATGTAATTTCCATGCAGCAACTGTAAGGTACAGACAATTCAGTAAGGTCCAGCTTTTTCATGCAATGTGATTTAGGTATATACCATTGTACTCAAGTTTATAGGATGTACTGTATATAAGTAAATGAATGAATTCACTAAATTAAGGAAGCAATGTAAATACTATGTAAATGAGGTCCCACATATTTTTATATTTTGAATGGATAGAATCATTTATGTATTGAATATCTATAATGTAGGAATAGAAAATGCATGCCTGTTTATATGCTAATGTGGTCCTGCATTGGAATAAAATAGTATTTCAGAGAGAGATTGACAGGTGTCCGTTCCCTCACTAAAGACTGTGGTGGCGGTCGGCCTGTTCCTTGTGCCGATGCACGGCCCGCTGGAGACGAGTGTGCGCAGCGTTCCAGATCTCCTCAGCGCGCCATAACCACTCGTCCACCGCATGGGCCTCGGTCTGGCTCGGATGCCAAGGTGCCAGGGCCGGCTGATACCCCAACACGCACTGGAAAGGAGTGAGGTTAGTGGAGGAGTGGCAGAGGGAATTCTACGCGTACTCAGCCCAAGGTAGAAAATCCGCCCACTTCCCCGGCCGGTCCTGACAGTAACACCTCAGGAACCTGCCCACTTCCTGATTGACCCTCTTCACCTGCCCATTAGCTTGAGGACGGTAACCGGAGGTGAGACTGACCGTGACCCCCAGGCGTTCCATGAACGCTTTCCATATGTGTGAGGTGAACTGAGGGCCACGATCTGACACAATGTCCTCCGGGATCCTGTAGTGCCGGAAGACGTGCGTAAAAAGAGCCTCAGTTTGCATGGCCGGCGGGAGCCCAGGCAGAGGAAGGAGGCGACAAGCTTTGGAAAACCGGTCCACAATGACGAGAACGGTGGTGTTCCCCTGGGAGGGGGGAAGGTCAGTGACAAAGTCCACCGAGAGGTGAGACCAGGGTCATTGTGGAACCGGCAGGGGAAGGAGCTTTCCATACGGGAGGTGTCTGTGTGTCTTAGACTGGGCACAGATGGAGCAGGAAGAGACGTAAACCCGGATGTCCCTAGCCAAAGTGGGCCACCAGTACTTCTCATTCAGGCAGGCGATGGTACGGCCTATCCCAGGATGACCCGTCACAGGCGCCGTGTGCGCCCAGGAAAGGATGCGGTCCCGCACACCCGTGGGCACGTAGGCGTGGTTCTCCGGGCACTGTGCAGGTGTGGGTTCCATACGCAAGGCCTGTCATATGTCGGCGTCCATGTCCCACGCCACTGGCGCGATAATACGGAATGGAGGGATGATGGGGGTCTCCTCTCCCTGCCTCTCCTCTGCGTCATAGAGGCGAGACAGGGCGTCCACCCTCACGTTCTTCGAGCCTGGCCTATAGGAAAGCGTGAACTGGAACCTGGCGAAGAATAGAGCCCACCTGGCCTGTCTTAGGTTTAGCCTCTTCGCTGCCCTGATGTACTCCAGGTTGCAGTGGTCCATCCACACCAGGAAAGGGTGTTTGGACCCCTCCAGCCAGTGCCTCCACGCCTTCAGAGCCTTCTTGACCGCCAAGAGTTTGTTTGATAATGGTTGGGATGAGGGGTAATGGATAGTTGAACAACGGTGGCTTTATTCAGTGTTTGATAATCAATGCAGGGGCACAGTCCCCCATCTTTCTTCTTAACAAAAAATAAACTTGAGGAGGCTGATGACGTAGAGGGACAGATAAAACCCTGCTGGAGGCTCTCCTGTATGTAGGTTTCCATGGCCTCGGTCTCCGCACAGGAGAGGGGATAGACGTGTCTTCTCGAGAGGACTGTGTCAGACAGCAGGTCAATGGCACAGTCCCAGGGGCGATGAGGAGGCAGGCGTGTAGCCTGGGTCTTAGAGAAAACCCGGTGAAAATCCTGGTATTCCTCCGGTAAATCCACTTGAGTGGCGTGGTCCGGACTTTCCACCATAGTGGTTTTCACAGACACCGCGAGACACCTCCCCTGACACTCCCCCAACCCAGCAGTCTCCTCTTGGACCAGGAAATAACAGGGTTATGCCAACTCAACCAGGGGAGACATAAAACAAATGAGTGTCATGGGTCAGCAGAGAAATGGGAACAGTGATGTGATGTACGAGCCCAGTCCCTATTGGACTATTATCCAGGGCTCGAACCGGAATGGGTGACTGTAGGGGAACCAAAGGAATGCATAATGCAGTGGCCAGTGCGCTATCTAAAAGATTCCCGGCAGCTTCGGAGTCAATCAGAGCTAACGGGAGTGAGGGGCTAGGGTATTCAGGAAATTTAATGGGAAAACACACTGGTTGAGTTGACAGAAAAGGAGAGGCGATCTTGCATCCTATCTGGGTTGGAACAAGGGAATTCCCTGGCTTGTCACCTCCTCGCCTATTAGTGGATAGAGGGCAGGTCGGGGAGGAATTACCCCTTTCTCCACAATAGGAGCAGAGGCCCAGATTCCTCCCTCTCCTACACTCTGCCTCAGCCAATCGTGCAGAGCCCAACTCCATCGGCTCTGGCCACGGAGCAGGTGTAGCCATGGGCTCCGGATTCCGTGCAGGTCTTCGTCGGGACCACAGGAGGTTGTCCAACCGGATCGCCATGCTGATGAGCTGGTCGAGTGACAGGTTGTCATCACGGCAAGCTAACTCCATCTGTACCTCCTCCTGCAGTCCGCTGCGGAAAACGGTGACCAGAGCCGACTCGTTCCATCCGGTTGAGGCCGCAATGTTCTGGAACTCCAGGGCAACTCCGAGGCGGTCCTAGATCCCTGACGTAGTCGGAGTAGACACTCACCCTCCTCTCGGCCCTCCACAGGATGATCAAACCGAGCGGAAGAGGAGGGTGACGCGCTCGTAGGACTCGACCTGGGTCCGCCTATTTCCCAGACCGCGGCACCCTAGTCCAGGGCCCGTCCGGTCAGTGCCGAGATGATGGTGGCAACCCTGTCTCTCCCGGAGATAGCCTCGGCGTAGCGAGCGAGGTGCAGGTCGCATTGCAGAAGGAACCCCTTGCATCTCGCTGGCGCGCCGTCAAAGCACTCCTGGAGGGACAGGGGTATTCCGCAGACCGGTTCAGATGTGATGGAGGCAGGTAGTGGTTGTGTGGGGACTGGTGCCGGAACCGGTGCTGGAGACTGGAGGGACTGCACATTCCCATCCAAACGCATGATGGTTGCAAGCACGCTGTCCATGGCGCTGCAGAGTCTGAAGAGACAGTCCTATTGATGCTGGACTGTCTCTACGAAGGTCGCCAGCTCTGCCTTTCCCACTGTCTCCATTTATGGGTTGATTATTCTGTCACATTGTATAATGATAGGAAGACAGGCGCAGGAATACGTACTGTATTAGTAGTTTTATTTCTCCACCCAACATAAGGTACATCATAGCAAACGACGGGGAAGAAACCAAAAACAAACACGTATGTATATAACACAGGAGTGTAACACAAACAAAAGAGCGAGGTGTAAACCTCTAAATACATACACGGGACGAGATCCGTAATAACAAGAGCACAATACATGGTACTCACGAGACCAACGGACATGGGACAATAATTGACAAGGACAATGGGGAACAGAGGGCACATATATACACATACTAATCAGGGGGAATGGAAACCAGGTGTGCGTAATGAGACAAGACAGTCCGGGGTTGGTGGTAATGATCCATGTCAGTGACGCCTAGAAGGCCGGTGACGTAGACCTCCGGAACTGGTGAACGGAATGAGCAGCAGTACCAGGGAGATCCGTGACAGTGTTCATGTGATGATTTGTCTGGCAGTGAACAGTCACCCTCGCCATCTGCTCACCCATGAATGAATGAGAACATGGCAAAAGCGCTGATTAAAAAGTCACCCCTCAGTAAATGTCATTCCCCCATGAGGTCATGAGTGAAGTGATGCAAATATTGTGATTATTGGGCCTTTGTGGCACTGTTTACAAACAGATGTCTGTGAACTCTAGCTGAGCTAATCATAAACCCAGATAAATTATGTGCTGCTGATGCAGCTCTATGGATTAACACATTAATAACTATGCTGATGGGATTCATATGGGCTTTAGTGAAGTACTGTTTGTAACTCACAAGCTATCCCCTCAATTATTACAACCTTTACATCCAAAACGATAGAGATCCAGGTCAACACTTAGACAAGAGATCCAGGTCAAGTTTGTGTTTGAAAGGTGAAGTAACAGAATTCTAAATTGGATTGTGTCTGATGTCCATGTGGTCAGAGGATTACGGTAGCTAAGTCTCTGGCCCCCGTAAACTGTGTCCACTTCTGCTGCAGGTCTCAAAACCAGGTACTTAACTACACACTCTAGATTAAAAGTGATTGAAGACCAATCCCACAGGGCACAGACGTCAGTTCAACGTTGTCAACTAACGTGAATTCAACGTGAAATCATAAAACAAATCACGATGTCATTGGATTTAGGTGAAGAGTTGGATGAAAAAAAGACTAAATGCCCTTACACTACCAGTCAAAAGTTTTCGAACACATACACAATCAAGGGTTTTTCTTTATTTTTTACTATGTTCTACATTGTAGAATAATAGTGTAGACATCAAAACTATGAAATAACACATATGGAATCATGTAGTAACACAAAAAGTGTTAAACAAATCAAAATATATGTTATATTTGAGAAATTTCAAATAGCCACCCTTTGCCTTTTTTATTTTTTTATTTCACCTTTATTTA